CAGCGCTGTTCCCCTCCCCCAATTCCCCAATAAAAATCTTTTTAAATAATATAAAATATAAAAAAAAATAAGTGACAAGAGGGAATGGGGGACCCCCAAGTCAGAAGGCATGCTAATGATCACTCTTGGACTGTGGAGGGCTCCCTAGGTAACAACACGTACAGAGGCAGAAAAAACCCAAGGGTACGAGCTGGGACTTTTCGGTAAAGAAGGCTGTCAGTCAGTCTCAGCCTCATTTTTGGCCCATAAAGGAGCAGAATCGTGCAGGTCACAACTCAGCTCTCAGCCAGCACTGGGCAGCCCATCAGACACCAACCAGAGAACTATTTCTGCCGTCCGGTGTGGAAAAGCCAATATCCACAGCATTCAATTCAGTGTGTGAACCGGGACCCGGCTGCCGCCTCCGAGTAGGTGCCGTTTCCCGCCAGTTCCTGAGACACGCAGATAACTGAATACCTTCGTTCCGTGCGGCAGGCAGGCGTGTATGTCTGGCGTGTGGAGTCTCATCACAAGGGCAGCTTTCCCATCAGAACCCTAAAGGCTAGCTCCCTGTAAAAGTGAGTTACACCCCTAATCTACCAAAGTGCTAAGAGGCGGCCCTCTTCAGGTGAGGAATTATGCCTGGTCTAGAACAGCCACCCAGCAACGGGCAGGGCTCCCAGTGCCCACCTGCCAGCACGTTCTCCTGAGGTCGTGCTGACTCCAGCCTTCTGCAAACACAGGCCTTCAAAGGATACCTCATTCCAGGTCTCGAGAACTGAAAATTTGTCCCGGAAGCTGGGAAAAACACCATGCCTTTGGAGAACTTCCCCAGAAACCTTGATAAGTGAGGAAGGTCTTATAAAAAATTCCAGATACACACAAATTGTATTATTTCAAGTACTGAAACACTGAATCCCCAAATCAATAAAAAATCCCTTGCAACAAAGAATATGCCTCATTTATATAACTGTGGTTAACTTTATGTCAACTTGACTGGATCACAGGGTACCCATATTCCTGGCTAAGTATTACTTCTGGGTGTCTGGGGTTTGTAGGCGAGCCCAGCATTTGACTCAGTGGGCTGAGGAAAGCAGGTGGCCCCAGTGCGGATGGGTGTCACCAACCCGCTGAGGGGCCAGCTAGAAAGACAGGTGGGGCGAGACTGGGGTAGCACAGGGGTCCTCCTGGGTGTGAGGTGGGCCTGCCACCACCGCTGTCCTGGCCTGCGGCTCCTACCCGAATTACACCTGAGGCCACGGGCTTGCAGGTGACAGATCCCGGGACTCCTCAGCCTCCATATTCGCGAGTCAATTCCTTATAGTAAATTTCTGTGTTTATTCCATTGGCTCCATTTTAGAGAAGTCATACAACAGGATGACAAATGTGCATTGTGAACGGGACAGTCTAGTTTTCACTTGAGACACTAACAGAAAGACAAATGAGATCTTACCCTTGTGCTCCAGGGCCTGTGATAGGGCATTTAACAGCTGTTGGTAGAACAAATTTTAAAATATATATCTACTAGAGTTTTAATACTTTTAGTTAACTTCTTAACAGGTCAACAGTAAAATCTCATTGCAACTCTCCTCCGAGGCTATGTGGTAGGATTTCACTTGTTCCACACCAAAAAAGGTATTCCCACATTATACATAATGGAGTTAAAAATGTATTTAACAGTTCTAAAACAAAGCTACTTTATCTCTCAAAAGTTAGGTCGCGATTTTAACCTTCCTAAAAACAACGTTTGGAAAAATTATCCCCAATTTCTGGCTAAAGCCCATTTCCAGGGCTTTCATAACTGTCTTCTACTCTGGCTGATTTGACGATGTCTCCAAAACAGCCGTTCCATGCTGCTTGCTTAACAATCCTAGGAATGAGAAACCTTAGGTATTCTATTGGGTTGTCGGAAAAGTCATGATGTATTTTTTCTGGTTTTCATTGCAAAAATGCATCATGACTTTTCCAACAACCCAATAATGTCTTAGTGAAACCAAGATGGTGTGAGAATGAGACCTGGGGCTGTAAAGCTAGCCGGCTCTCACGGCAAGCCGGGAGGGTTAAAGACGTCCCAAAGCACCCCCATCACAGGACGGCCTGTCATCATCGGGTGGTGCTGACACGCTCATCAAAAAGCCAACTCTCCCAAATTTCTTGCTCACAAACGTAAAGAAAAACTGCCACAGCCTGTCTGTCTCTTCATCTTAAAAATATAAAAATAGCTCTGGAAGTCAGAAAAGTAAGGGGAGGGTGAAGACACCGAGGAAAAAGAAACCCCATTTCTCAGCTAGGTGCTGCCGAGAAGACAAGTCCTAACAAAACGAACACTTCAGGGTTTATTTGTTTAATAAAACAACCAGTCAGTCTTTTCTCAGGGGAACGGTCTCCTCCGTGATGCCCTCCTTGGTCACAACACAGATCCTGAGCGCGTCCCCGGTGTACACATCTCGCTCGGCAGCAGAGACGAAGACGTCTTTCACGAGCCGCAGGGCCCTCTCCAGGGTCAGGGGCACGTGCTGCACATTCTGCATGTTCTTAAAGCCGACCTGGTGAGACAGAGACTTGGGTGAGGCGGCAACAGCGCCAAGAAGGCCCGATCCCCATGCACTCACACGTCTGGGTTCCTAATGAACACATCCCCCAGACGGGGACGTCTCTCAGCCAACGTCCTGAGACAAGGCTCTCGCCTCCGAGAGGCAGACGCCGTAGACAGTCATGAGGCAATGCGCCTTCACTAAGAGGAGGGACAGCGGGAGCCCAGGCCGCCACACCCAGTCTCCGGGGTGAGGAAAGGTTTCCGTACTAAGTGCCCTGAGTGCGGGCATCTGGGGGGTGAGCAGCCATTACGGTGGGAGGACATTTAGACCAAGGGTGGGGGTCCCACGGCCTGGACACGGGACAGGCACAGCACCTGAGGGGTCGGGGTGGGGACCGAGATGAGGCGGGTGAGCGATAAGCAGAAGCGACTGTAGGTAACACACTCAGACGAGCGAGGAGGAGGAACTGGGGAGTGACCTGGACGCACAAAGAGTGGGGAAAAAGCAGCCATCCAGGCCAGCTGCCACGCAGGGCCCAACGCGGCCAGCAGAAACGGAAGCGGGGACCACGCTAAAATACGCTTGGGAGTTAGACCCAAGCGGTGAGCCTGGGGAGAAATGCATCTTCATGACCCTCAGGTGCAGATGACACGAGAAGAGAAAACGTGGACCAGCCGCTATCAACATGACTCTGAAGTCGGGTCGTACAGGGAGAAGCCGAAGCCCCAGGCGGGGGAGCCCGGAGGGGCGGAGCGGGCAAAGCAGCCAGAGCGCCGTCTCCTGCCCCCGGGGGGAGAGCCACCGCGGACGCAGACTCGTTACCTGGTTGTCGAGCAGGGGCTGCAGCATGGCACTCGCGGAGCCTCCGGCCTTGAAGGAGTCTCTCTGGTAGGACCCCACCGGGTCAAAGCTGTACACGGCCCCCTTCCCTGCAGGAAGGAAACGGTCTCCATGAGGACCCCAGACCACGGTCACATAAATGCGCTCCGAGTCGGGCACAGTGGACTGCCAGCTTCGCTAAACTTCAGCCCCATTCAGTGAGAAACACGCTCACTGTTGTGAGGTGACACCCAGCAGGTCGCCCCTCAGAGGCCCGCCGGCCATCTGGTGCCCACCATGGTGCTCGCCGCCAGGCCTCACTCCCTCCGTGCTAACGTCACCAGGTGGGGCTCCCGACATGCCGCAGGCACACTGCTCAGTGGTCACAGGGCCTTCTCTAAACTCCGTACCAAACTCCTACACACTCTCCTCGTCAAGGAGCCAGCGCGCTTCTGGTCGGGACTGAGATTTCCTGGCGTAAATGTGGGCGGTCACGCAGTACACCTACTGTGCGTTTCCAAACTACTAGTAAGCACACTGTTCAGCATCAGCACCATAGAAACAGTTTAATAAGGAAAAAATTTAAGAAAAAAACATTGGCATTGCAGTTAGTTTTACCTAAAATGTAACCACTTGCTTTGTTCCACCAGAACTAAGAAGCATGCCTTTTTTTTATAAGAAAAATAGGATTTGAACCCTGCACCCCCCCCACCCCCCACCACTCTTCGCTAGACATCTAGAGAAACATCTAGAGAAGTGGGAGCAGATGGTGTAAGGGGCTCTCGGGCTCTCCCAAAGCATAAATTCTTATGCCTTTTTTCGAAGAGCAATCTGGTGTCAGAATCTATCATAACGCAAAAGTATGAATCCCACAACCAGTAATAATCTCACTTGTAGAACAGGGTTTACCTACAAGAAAGCTCGCACAGGCAGACTTTCTTTTCTCGTACTGCACAGGTATTGCATTTTTTACAACTGGAAGGCAAGACCCTCCACTTGCAAAAACATGACTTTTATTTTTTTGGCGGCACTCACTTTACTGCAGTGGTCTGGAACCCAAATTGCAGTATCTGAGGTCTGCCTGCATAAACACACGAAGCATTACGTACAAGACCATTTCTGTAATTCCTAAAAAAGCAAAAACCTATAAGCCACCTGAAATCGATGAGCAGAAAACGATATGTCCACACAGTGGTGCACACAGCCCAGAAACAGGAAGAAGGGAGTGGGGGACAGACCCACAAGACAACGTAAAATGCAGCGCTCTGTAATACGTACAGCACAGTCCTATTTTTGTTTCAAAGTGTAAGAAAATTGTATACATACTTGTGTAAGCACGGGAAAGTATGGAAAGGTAAATAGCAAACTGTAGTTAGGTATCTCTGTGGGATTGGGGTCAAGAAAAGAAGGGACCATCATGTGTAGGTTTTGGTACTACCTGAGTGGACTCCCAGAAACTCAAGTCATTATCGTGTTTAAAAAAGCCCTTCAGAAACAATTGTTTCTGCACATGAGAAATGATGGGTCACTTACAAGGTGTGACTTCCAGTGACACACGGACTCTCCAGCACACTGCACTGGAGCGAAGCACGGTGGCGGTGACCTGGAGACGCGAGACGGGGACAGCCTCCCCACTCCCTACGGACACCCACACTTCCAGCCGTGTGCGCGTCCCACGGTGCAGCCGCCACACAGAATTCCCTGCTGTGACAGCGGCGACTGCGGGCACCAAGAGACTGGGCAATGGGTTTTGCCAGAAGCAAGCCTGGGACAAGGAACGCGATCACAGTGGGCAGCTCACTAACTGCAACGCACAGAGAAAGGAATACGAGGCATGAAGCAAAAAGAACAACTGACTCTCTCATGAGGCCAACAGGCCACAAGCCAAACAAGGCCCCAAAGCTTTACCCAAGGGTGAGTCTCCAACTCACACACAGCAGATGTGAGGAAAACCAGAATGGGACACATCCAAGGACAGAACTTCAAAGACCCCTTAGAAAGGCCAGAGACACCTGTGACATTAGTACAGAGCAGCATGAATCCTGACTGTGGACATGAAGTGCTTTTCCTCGTTAAAATGCCAAAAAGGCATGATTTCATTGCAAAAAATGAAATGAAACCAGATTAAGTCCTAGGAAGAAATGCAGAAAAGCCTTAAACGGGGGAGGCCTTTCTAGCAAAGAAGGACACTCAATGCCATTAAGATTGACAGGTGTGACTATGAGACTCAGAAACTTCTGTGTAGCTACAGACACGCCCCCAAAATGTAAGCGACCAAGTCCAGTCCCCAGGGGTCATCCATCCACCACATACAAGACAGAGGGCTGACACAGCTGGGTGGCATTCTCATAAATCAGTAAGAAAAACACCAACCTGTGAGGCAGGAAGTGAGGAAAGGTTGATACATGGGTCAGATTCCAAGGAAGAAAAGAAAAGGTCAATAAACATGAAAACATGCCCAACTTTAACAAAGGAAACATATACATAAATTAAAACAATAAAATACTTCTTGGGCAAAGATATTTAAATTATGTTCTTTTTGATACCGTTAAGGATGCAGGAAACCCAGGTTCTCACACCCCTGCTGGTGCAAGTCCCTGAAGACAAGCCAGCGATGGCGTCAAAAGGCAGAAAGTACTGGGTCGTCGGGAAAGTCATGACGTATTTTTTTGTTTTGCAATGCAAACATGTGTCATGACTTTCCCGACGACCCGATACGTATTCTCTGACCACCCACTCAGTTTTTTTCCCAGGGAGGGCAGCCTCGTTGGGGCAACACTCAAACTCGCGTGTTTAAAGGCGTCATCGTGCTGTTCACATTAAGGACCCTTCACAGGACTGGTGGGCCAGCTCTGGTGCAGCCCACGCGGCATGAAGTCGCTGTGCTTACTTTACTCAGCAGCACAGAACCATCTCTGTGATCACACACCCAACTCACAGGAACAGGAGAATGGGCAGCGTGTGTGCGAGCCTGCACGTGAACACAACACGTCTAGAGGATTTTCTCCAGGGACAGGGTTTGGGGTGATGACGACTTTCACCTTTGTATCTTCTAAAACTATCTGAAACTCCTACAAGTATTACTGTTTTCATTACAGAAAAATTGAAGCCATATTACTTTTGGGGAATAAATTTTTTAAAAGAGAACATGACAGCAACGGGAAAGTTAAAGGCACACAGCTGAAAGCAGGTGGCTACTGACCCCACTTGTCCTAAAGGTCCGTTGTGTCCCCACTGTCCTGAGGGTCAGCTGTTGACCCACTGTCCTGAAGGCTTGAGTGAGGTGTACTGCTCTCCGCGTCCCCACCTCCAGCGATACAACAGACAGGGAACAGGAAGTAGAAGTCTCTGGGGGGACCAGCAGAGGCCCTGGACTTGGGGACACCGGGCATAGGAGTGGATGGGGTAAAGGGCAGGGATAGAAACAGAAGCATAAATGCAAAGTTGATGAGCCGACGCAGACCTTCACAATCAGATTTGGGCGTCACTCTCAGAATGAATGCGGTAACCAAAAATCAACAAAAATTTGAGGGAACTCCAATTTAGAAGTCAGAGGCCAAAAACAGACAAAATGAAAACAATCTGATAACGGGCAGAAAACACAGGAAACCTTCAAAGGAAGTACAAAAGATATAATAAGAACAAAACACTTAAAAAAATAAGGAAGCCAAGAAAAAAAAAAACACAACAAAAATACTGATTGTAGAGATGTGGAGAAGGACACAACAGACAAGGGATTTGAGAACACCAGGATTTAACAAAAATCCTAAAAGCTAAGTCTCATAAAACGTCTCGACTTCTTTTTCCAGAACTATTGGGAGATGTCCACTACAACCAACAAGGAAACAAGACAAGAGGACAGCACCGCTAAGAGAGCCCAAGACTGTGTGCGGACAGGAGAAGGCTGAGGACTGTCTTATTACACACATAACTTCGTTGAGAAATAAAAATGCCAAGAACAGTCAAAGCAAACCAGGCAAGATCAGCGAAAACAGTTAGAAATGCCTGAGAATACCACCAAAACAAGGGACGCTGCCACATGGAGACCAATGAACAGGGCTTGAAGTCAAAGGCTGCGAACCCAAACCCCAGCTTTCCCAAACCAGTCAAAGGACCTCTCTGGCCTGTTGAAATTCAAGGTAGCTATTATCAATGTTGCTAAAACTGAATTTACTAATCTGATATTCAAACCAGACTTAAGTTAAAAAAGGCACCAGAAGTGTTAGGAACATGAAAACGTGAAAAGATGCTGGGTTCGGAAGCTGATCTGTGGCCAGAATTGAATTACCCAGGTTAAGGGTAACTAATTTCTATGAACCGTTTGTATGCCTTACATTTTCTGTTTTCAAGTTTGAAAGCCTCGAAAGAAACTGTGTCACCCTAAACAGTAGTCAGTAAAAGATCAGAACGCACCCAGAAGCCATAACGGGGTAGCAGCTGAGAGCGAGGGACAGTCAAGAAAATCCATGGGACAAAAAGGGACGTGAAACTAGACAGAAAGAACTGAGACGCCCGCTCTTTCCTACCCAGAATCTTCGCTCTCAGAAGACACTTATTTCAGTGACGCTGTCCTCACTGTGTCTATGATGGTGGCACAAGTCTGTCCTGGGAGACTGGGTTTGGTTTCTGGAAGGTACATGTCAAGTTACAAGGCAACTGTCTCGGGCCCTCCTGGTCACACTTTGACAGAAAACCAGAGGCGTTTCAAAAATGTTTCTAAAACACTGGTGAAAATGCATGCATTTCTCCTAAAAAGACACCGCTTTTTAACAACTTTTTGTTAATGAACTGTTATTGCTTAGGTTAAGCTTCTCCAGGTCAGATTTCTTTTTGTAAACATAAACGCTTAACTCTCTACTAACCTCCTCTAAGATCTTGAGAAAACAATAAAATGACTAACTGCCCAATATTCACTATCAGAGCTTAATACACTACCTACTGTGTCTTTGGATAATGGTTTCTGTCCTTTCGTCGCCTGAATTATCAGAAAATGAGCTGCTGGAGAAGACGGCCTGGCTCCTTCCCACTCTGGGTGGACACACGCCTAGAAGTGCCCCCTCGTGTCCTACCTTCTTCATCAAGTCCCCCGATGATGTTGTACACATAGTACGGGAAGAAGCGCCTGGAATAGAGGATCGTGGACAGCATGGCAGCAATGGCCCCCGTGGTCATGGCCTTGTTATTGGAATGCTTGTACATCTGCAATTGTAACGACGACAGGCAGAACACATTACACTAGAGCCACCAACAGTACCGTGAAAAGAATGAGTGCACATCTTGGTGGAAAAGGAAAGGACACCCGTTTCTCTCGTGATCAAAAGCCACAGTATAACTGCGATAAAATGGTAATTTATGACACCCTATCACTTGGGGGGCTATACACATTTCTAAGGGAAAAAAACGCTAAGTTTGCCCTCGTCTCCTGGTTTAATGACTATGTTTTCCCCGTCAGCCTTACCTCGGGCACTGCAGTCAGGAGCAAACGCACACTACCAGGGTCTGGGAGGTGACCCAGGGACGGCGTTTCAAGCCCAGCTGCCCCCTCTGCGTCTATACCAGGGTCAGCAAACTAGAGCCCATGGGCCAAATCCAGCCCACCATGTTCCTGTAAACGAAGTCTTACTGGAGCCGTCTTTCTCACTCATTACGTCTAGTCTACGCCTGCTTCTGCATTTCAACAGTAGAGTTGAGTGGTTGCCAATAAAGACCAAACGGCCCCTAAAGGTGACCAGACTGACTTCCCAGACTGTTACAGATCGTTTGCTGATCCCTGATCAGGCTGTTGTGAACACAATGCACTCTAGCACAGCCCGACTCTCCCCTATGCTCCTCTCCGTGACGCTCCTGGAAGCCAACACTGTTTCACACACTGGCCACCGCCAGGATGGAGCCCCGTCTTCGCGTCTCCCCACGCTGCACAGGAGGCAAGCAGGTGTGAGCGTCAGAGCCTCTGAGAGCTGCACAACAGGCTGGTCCGAGCATTCTCTCCCTTCTTCCTTAAGGGCGCCCCTCCTCTCTCCTACCCTCATGTGTCTCCCATGAAGTCCTCTTCCTTAGCTGCCTGCCAGCTGAATGCCACACAGGTGTGAGGAGACAGTGGCTCGCTGGGCCTCTCTCTGGACACCCGGCTTATGCTTTCTGGCTCCTGTTCGGTCTACTCAGTGTTCAGCGCTGTGCCGGGGAAAAGCACTGCGGCCGGGGGCATTCCAAGCCCAGCTCCTGTCTAAAAGCTGGCCTTCTCCACAGAAACTGATTTGTTCTGTTTCTGAGGGAAGAGTATCTTGAGAAGAGCCCCCTCCCAGCCACCCGGAAAAGGCAGAGAACACTTTGTGTTGTACAGAGCTGACAAACAGAATTTGCTGTAGTTTCACGTAATGCTACTCTAATGATGCTGCCTTGACAGTAGCACTTCACTTCTAGGAGAGGTTAGTTTCACAGCTGTTCTGAGCAAGTCATGCTGTGTGCTTAAAAGAATCTAGTGAATCATTATAACTTTCAGTAGTGTAGACATGTAAAATCATCCACCTTTAGTCTTGCTTCAATAATCTTTGTCAGGGTTAGACAGTCTCCATGAAAACCACTGCATCCAATGACTGTTTTGTCTGTTCTGTAAAAACAACATTTCAGGAAATTGAGTTGGTTAGACAGTAAAGCAAAACACGTCATAAGCAAGTTTAAATTTAAAACTCCTATTCCCATTATTCACTAAATGATATGGGACTAGTTACCCCCCCCCGCTTTTTTTGGGGGGTTTGGGTTGGGGAGGATGTCTGTAATTTGGTATCTAACCCCTTACACAAAATGCATTATAGGTGGATCCAAAACTAGTAACTATGAATGGACCAAGGAAAACATGGATGAATTTTTTATATCCTTGGGTTGAGGACAGCTGATTTAAATATGACACAAACCAAAGTCCACACATCAGTTTCATAAATTTGACTGCATAAAAAAGGAAATGGTCTAGGGAGAAAAATACAAACAAGGTTTAAAAGAAAAAAACTAAGAAAATATATTTGTAGTGCACACGACAAAGTCTAATTTTTTATTTTGTTAAGATTTTATTGAGGATTAGGGAAGGGGAACAGTGTTGGGGAATTGGGGAAGGGGAACAGCCAAGCTGCTGTCCTTCAATCTCAGTTGTGGAGGACACAGCTAGCTCAGCTCCAAGTCCAGTCACCATCTGGCTGCCCATCGGCAACTCGCGGCTGCTCAGCTCAAGGTGCTGTGGGGGGCGGGAGAGCATAGCCCCCCATCCCATGAGGGTGTCTAACCAGAAACCTTGTTGTTAGGAGCATGTGCTCTCACCAGCTGAGCCATCTTGCCACCTGTTGGCAGCTCAGCTCAGGCGCAGCTCACTGGCCCATGTGGGAATCAAACCGGTGACCCTGTTGCTCATAACTTGAGCTCTTAACCAACTGAGCCACTTGGCCGGCCCACAAAGTCACAAAGTCTAATTTTAACTTCCTTAATGTACAAAGGGCTCCTACAAATATGAAAAACATTAACACCACAATGGACCCTGAGGTGTGACATGAAGCTGGAGACCAGTTAATGACATTGTACTGCACATTTGAAAGTGGCTAAGAGAGCAGATCTGAAACCTTCTCATCACCAGAAAAAAAATGTGTGTAACTATGTGATATTGACAGATTTGAAGTAGATTTACTGTGGTCATTTCACAATGTGTACAAATATGGAATCATTACGTTGTGCAGGTGAAACTAGTATGATGGTGTATGTCAATTACACCACAGCAAATCACACAATGGAAAGGTGAGTAAAATTATGAAAGTCACATACAAAGAGACACAAGTTGCCACAAACATATGAGAAGAGCCTCCATATCCCTCTGAAACCCGAACCTAAACAGGAGATGGTCCCAGCCACCTGCCTGGCTAACGAAGCCTGAGTCTGGAGAGGCTGTGGGAAACGAGCGCTCAGACTGGGGACACTGATCTAACCGTGTGCAAGGGCCCGCTGGCTGCATCTAATAACAACTGAAACGCATAGCACTTCACTAATTCCACTGCTAGAAACTCATCCTGTCCATATACTCAGCCTGTGAGGATAGGCTCGAGGCTCACTTGTATAAGCACTCCTCTAATTTTATTGGCTCTCCAAACAAAACAAACAAAAAAGCACCTAAATGCCCACCAGAAAGGAACTGCTTAAATTTTGGTACACCCATGAGTTCAACCATATGTCCCCAAAATTATTTCCTAAATCTTGATATTCATCTACAAAAAAAGCTCAACTAATCTCGTCAAGAAATACTTAGCACAGGGCCAGTTCCTTCCTTTCAGAACTGTACGGTGACTCATACGCGGTGACTCATACGCTGACAGTGCTGGGGGCACCACTGGCATTTCCTCATCTATCCCTATAACCAACCTCCTGCACTAAGTTAAAGACCCCCAGTCTCCAATCAGGCTTCACTACCTTTAATAAAGATGGGTTGAGAATGTCAACAGGGTGGGTCAAAATTCGGGAGCTTCAAGATTTTCCCAAATATCCATGTAAATCAAAGGAAGGGAAAGTTTTCACACAAAGAATAAATGGAGGGTCTCCAACAGGTGGGGAAGAGGCGGGCTTGGCTATAGGTCGGCCCAAAAAGGCACGGGATTAGGGGCACAGAAGCAGCTTCAACTGTATGAATGGTCATGCTGAGAGTGGGTGACAGGGATACAGGACATCGTTAATGTCTTATCTATGTCTATACCTAAAGTACGTCATATGAAAAAAGGATGGGTATTCTCGAGTAGCATGCACGCTAAAACAATGTTACAAAGATGAGCAGAACCCTACACAAGCAGGGTATCAATAAAGTCATGTTTTCAAATTTTATTTGTAACACTTACTAGTTTCTAACTATAAAAGTTACCGTATTTCCCCATGTATTAGACACACCCTTTTCCAAAAAATCTGGGGTCTAAAAACTGGGTGCGTCTTATACAGTGGTTGTATGAGCGAAAAAAAAAAACAAGCGCGAAAAAAGTGGGAAATGCAAGTAAAAAACCCCCTACAACCACTGTATAAGACGCAGCCAATTTTTAGACCACAAATTTTTTGGAAAAGAGTGCGTCTTATACATGGGGAAATACAGTGCCTCTTAGAAGAAAGGTACATGGGTGCACTATGAATCGGGAGAAAAAGGGGTATTAGAAGACGGAAGACGTGGTCAGAAAGGGAAGTGGGAAGATGAAGACAAACTGCACTTCTTTAGGTTAAGACGTGGGCCAGCCCTGAGCCAGGCAGACGGGGCTCTCTTCTTTACCGACTCCCAACAGCAGCCCCGGCCCGGTCCCAAGGACCCGAACCTCATCAGTCCTTTCCTGTTACAATTTGGGCTTAGTAGGCTCTTGTGGACCATCCTGAGAACCAACCACCACAGAACTATTTCCAAAAATTGTTAAATACAAACCAGTGCTAATCTGCACAACACATTTTGCTGACTTATGCAGACATTTTTTTTTTTTTTAGTATGCGTTTTATTTTAATGTTTTAGGAAAAATATCGGTAGCCCATTAAAACTGTGATCCATGGATGTAACTGCTTAGGACAGGCTAAATTGAATGTTTCAGGCAAAAAAACAAATAAACAAACAAACACAAAACCAGCAGATTTAAAAAAATATTTCATGGATTAATGAATAGATATAAGAATGGAAAGATATGTGATAAAGTAATGATGTAAAATGCTAATTAGATCTAGTTGCCAGTATATGGGTGTTTACTACAAAATTTAACTTTTCTTGTATATTTGAAATTTTTCATGACAAAATGTTGAGATAGAAATATTTAGGTTATTAAAAGCGCTGTTGGAAACCAGATATGGAAAATATCATGAAGACTGCATACTGAAGTATCAGGAAATAATAATTTAGAAAACTGTTTCCTAACAAAAATGCAATCAATGTAAGCTACAAACACACAAAACACACCGTTTAAGAGATGAAATCTTGTGCATCATTAAATTTTCACAAGGCACTGGGAAATGTGTCCTCAGAAATACTTACAATTTGTAACATTTGGGGCTGTCCCGGGTGTGAATTGAAAACCCTTCACTCAATCGAGTATCAGAAGCAACAATTGAAAAATCTTCTCCAGCAATTGCCAACACAGTACTGACGAAAAAAAGAAAGACAAAAAATTAATGAATTCTTCTGAATGGTAATAAAGCCTCTCCCAATGGAAGAGCATGCAGTAGCATAATGTCTAAAAAAGCACATACCTTAATTAAGAAACATTTTATTGATAAAAAAGTGCTAATCATCCCGAGCCTGTTGGGAAAATGGCACCCACAGACTTGCTCCAGGGGGACTGCCAGGAACCCTCACTCTGTGAAGCACGAAGAAGTGCAGGAAAAGGAGGTGTGCCTGGGTCGGGAAGACCTCACAGGTGTGAGGCAAGACCAGAGTTCAGATGGAGGGGGAGACGGGGCACAGCGTCCCTCAGCTTCACATCATCTGGAAGCCCATTGAGGGCTTCCTAAAAACACAGAGCCAGGGTCCCTCAGCAGGAGGGCTGTCAGCATTATGAACAAATCAAATGCCTACGTTGTGCAAGGCACTGATACGACACAACGGCCCTGCCCATGGGGTCAGACGTAGACAGTGGAACCACAGCACATTAACCAAGCTCAGAGAAGAGGGGTTAGTCTTTTTCATTTCTTGATATCCAAGCCCTTATGTGACATCTAGCTCTCAGTAGACACCCAAACAGCTGTTGAAAAATGAACAAAAACCAAACTTTTCAATTTGCAGCTGTGCGATTTCTGATGGCTATTTACTGTAGAGGCCTAGAGCATGACTGCAAAGCAAACTGCCGGGTTCCCGCTCTGATCTCCCACTCAGCAGATATGAGACTGTGCGTGAAGCTGCTTAACATCTCAATGCCTCATTGTCTTCATGAGTGGATCAGAGGTCCTAACAGTGGATACCTCGACAGGCTGTTACAAGGATTAAATGAGTTACTAAGTGTAAAGCCCTATATTAGTGCCTGAAGCATAGCTGGTCCCCCAGTTAGCTAGCACCATGGTGGACACTGAGAACCTAGGATCGGCAGCTACCTAGGACCCAATCCTGCCACTTGCCTAGCTCTGTGACCTTGTGCAAAGTGTCCAAGTTCAGGTCAATGACAATAACAGTTTCTGTGTTACAGGTGACCGTGAGAGTTAAATGACATAATCCATAAAAGCACAGCTCCTCGGAGAACATAAAGCACTCAGAAAACTGTAGCCATTATTTTTGCAGAGGTGGGATGTGCACTAAAGCCCTGAAGTACTAAAGGGTAGCATACTATGGACCGTGACTAAAAGGAAATGTGTAATAATTCAAACGATACATTCCAACAACTTTTTCAGGTGTCCCTTTATGTGTAAGTGGAGGAACATAAAGCTTATGTAATGGACAGGGATACATCTGTAGAAAATGCCCAACTAAAGATTTTGGAATTTTAGTGAGAAACCATAAAGGTTATATGAGCAAGAGTGAGAAGAGTTCCATTTTCAAAGTGGAGTTTTAAGAAGGCTCCTGAGACAACACTGTATGTGAAATGGGGTGGAGACACTTCCAATAAGACTAATGCAATGGGAAGAAATGGGCAAATCCAAAAAACATAAACATGCCAACTATACTAGTTTTTGTAACTACCAGAATGTGATGGAAGCTGGAAGAGGCAATTACGTATGACATCCAAGATTTTAAGCTGGGTTGTGAGCAGCATGAAGGCACAATTATAGGGAAGGTAAAGGAGAAGAGGTGATTGAGAGGGAGCATTAGCTTGCTTCTTGTTTTACTATGCCGAGTTGTGGTGATAGCAGAAAATCCAAGTGGAAATTTTTTTTTAATTGGGGAAAAGTGTTTTTCCAACACCCATCGGCTCTAAGGCAAGTAGTTGTTTCACTGTAGTTGTGGAGGGCGCAGCTCAGTGGCCCATGTGGGGATCAAACCGGCAACCTTGGTGTTTTGAGTGCTGCGCTCTAATCAACTGAGCTAACCGGCCTCCCCCAAGTAGAAATGTTCTTTTTTAAAGATTTTTATTGGGGAATTGGGGGAAGGGGAACAGACAAGTTGTTGTCCTTTTGTTCTTCAGTCTAGTTGTGGAGGACGTTGTTTCACTGACCCAAGTTGGCACCATCACTGCGCTCTTCCCGGGCGAGGCACATCAGTCGCCGGCTTCTGGACGGCCGCTCACTGTGGCTGCTGGCCGCTCACGCTGGCTGCTGGCTACACACGGTAGCCCATGGCAACCCACTGCCACAGGGGCTGCAGCCTACGCCGTCAACGGCTACTCACGGCAGCCCAGCTCCAGGTTGAGCTGTTGTTCAGCATCTTAGCTGTGGAGGGCAGTGTCACTGGCCCTCATATGTGGGATCCGAACCGGGGCCCTCTGGTGTCCCAAGCCAGCTCTTAACCCACGCGCCACTCGGCCTGCCCGATGATATACAATTTAAAAAGTTATATTCTTCTATTAAGAAAGCTAATTTCACTTGAATCGCTTTCACATGTTTCTTCTACTGACATTGTCACTGTTACAGGTAAAGAAAAATTTTTAAAACTGCACTGGAACACAAACCACAGACAACTGACTGAAGAGAAATCGGATACTGCGGGCTAAACGGAAAGGTAGACAAAACAGGCTTGGCGCTTAACGTGTTAAGAAGCCAGAACTGAGGGACTCATGAGCGATGAAATTGGAGAAACAAATGTAGGAATTATCCACCAAGGAGGGAGACATGTGAGAGTGCTGAGTGACAAATGTGGAGGCTAATGACTTGGAGTTTAACCACATTTTAAGTCAGAGTAGAAAAAGATATAAAACTAAGCCTTATTTTGTAAAAGCAAATGTTGCCCAACAGCCAAGAGCAATAAATGCTAAATAAAACGAACAAAGACTGAGAAAACGAAACTTAATAATCAGAAAGTCATAAGTCACTGTTAGGGTAGTAACAGCTTAAATTGGGTTACAAGGGGTTAAAAGTGAGTAATGAATCCTGAATACTGAGCACCTTGAAAAGTCTTATTACAAAGAATTTGTAACTGCCTTACTTATGTCTAACCCTACTTTCCATTTAAACCAACAGAAACGATTACCAAGTTGTCTGATTAGACCTTTTAGGTTCAGACACAACTACGCCCGGAACAACACGGACCGATCACGGCGAACTTGTGCGTTTCAGACGCCGGCCCTGCCCTCGCCGGCGGCCCTCGGCCAGGCCCGGGGGGCGCTCGGCCCGCTCGCGGGGTCTCCCCGCGCACAGGCCGGGCTTCGGCTCCCGCCCGCTGCCTCCCCTCCCGGCGGCAGAGCGAGCGGGCAGCGCGCACAGCACGGCCCCCGGGGCCGGCCGCTGAGCAAGGCGGACGCGAGCCGCCCGCGGACACCGAGGCCCGCGGGACGGCGGGGCAGCGGGTCCCGCCGCGACCCGCACGGGCTCAAGCGGGGACGCGGGGTGGGGCGGGGGGAGCGGAAGCGAAAGCGGCGGCTCTCCGGGCCTTACCCCCCGTTGAAAGCGTAGGGCGAGAAGCGCAGCTGCACGGGGCCCGCGGCGCTGCGAGGCTCCATCGCCGGGTGACTGCCCGGGCCCGAGTACACGGCTGGGGAGGACGACATCGCGCGGCGGCCGCTCCTGCTGTCTCACGGCGAGATGGCGGCTCCGGCCGGAAGTTGCGCCACTTCCGGCTGTTCCGCGCGCTCCCTCCCGCGGTTCCGTCTCGCACAGGTGCCCGGCTCCTGGAGGTCCGCGCTGCAGCCTGGCCTGCGGGTAGCGGGATGCCCCGTATTCCGAGGAAGCTTACAGAGATGTCAAGGCTTTCTTTCCTAAGAAAACATTCGAATACACTCGTGATGGACAAAAACTTTAAAGCCTGGCCATACAAAAAAAATTGGCAAAACTGTGGAGCAATGGAAAGTCTAATCCTCTGTTGGAGTGTAAACTGGTACATCCATATTGGGAAAAGGGACTGGCATCGCCGAGCGTAGTTGATGTAGACACCTTAGGACCCAGCAATTCAACTCCGAGGTATACACTCTACCCAGAAGACCCGTGCAAGAATTTTCATATAGCATTGTGATTAATAGCCCCAAACTGGAAAGGAGCCAAAGGTCCATGAACAGGAGAATGGATAACCCCAGCTGAAGAATATGTCATAGCAAGGAAAATTAACTAAGGTTAGCTAGAAGTATGAATCTTATAACGTTGAGCAAAAGAGTACATACTACATAACCTAGAGTACTCAGCAAGTAGGAAGGGTCTGCTTGCCTAAGGTAGGGGACTGTGGTTCTGGCAATATTTGCTTTCTTTGATTTATAACCATCCGTTAATTTGTACATGCATTTACTCACTTTCTCATATGAATATTCTATTTTACAATTTTTTTAATGTTATTTTCTAAGAAGCAAGCAACTGGATAATATATGATGGACTACCTGATATATACTTGGAATTCTGGAACCAGAAAAGATTTCTGAAAGTACTTAATTACAACTCTCCCCAGGGTTTAATGCAAACCAACAAAAAGGATAAAAGAAAGGATTTTCTTTGATGGTTATTGACAGAGAAGCATTGTACTTATTCAGGTACTGTCCTGGATACAAAAAACCTATATAACATCTTGTATCCTTAAGGGGCTCACAGCCTCACTGATTATATAAAATACAAAGGAAGCAAAATAACAATCAGTAGGAAGGGGTTCAGAACAAGTCTCACCAGAAAGTGACACTTTGACATGGGGATTATTTTGAGCCAAAGACAATGGGGACCCAAAAGACTCAGGAAAAACTTTGTGCCTCTCCTTTAACTGCCTAAAAGAATGTAGGTAGAGGGCCTTGTCCAGGAAGAGAGCGATCCGCAAAGGTAACTGCAAAGAGTATGAGCCAGGTGTGGCGGGCTGGGGGAGCTCCGCAGGGCCTGGTTTTTCAAAGTCCTCTCTGTGTCCCATTGTCTCTCCATGGCATGGCAAACATTTGTTTACCAAGCATTTGCTCTACCCATCTTCCTATGAGTTATCTTCCTTCCCTTTGAAGCCACAGATCCCTAACCCCTTCTCCTTCGCTCAGGTGGGCACATAAGCTCAACCGACTGTCAGGGAGCCTCTTACTGTCCCATAACGGTACATAATAAAATTTGTTCAACTCCTGTTAATCTGTTTTATGCTAATTTAGTGAATAAACCACCATAAAAGAACCTAGAGTGTAGAGGAAAAATTCTCCTTCCCTATAGGTACAATATATGATTATGTCTAAATGAACCATAGGAGAGATGAAGGAAGGTACTCTGGGGTCCAAACACGCATCGGGAAACAAACGAACAACTATGGATAGTCTCCTTGTGACAAATGTGAAAAAAAGCATAAGACGGTAGTAGCAGAAGTAAAATATACTTGACTCTGTAAGCCTGGCTGTTTGCTGTTGTTTTTATCTTTCCACATGTTTGAGAGTAGGTTGCATGCACGGAGTGCTCACCATGTGCCAGGCACAGTTCATGCATTTCCTCAATCCATCTCTCAATGTCCTTAGACGGCAACGTCCGCTATTAGTCCATTCTGCAGACCAAGAAACTGAGGCCGAGGGCCAGGTAGCTTGCCAAAGGTCACACAGAGAGCTGGCTTAGAAAGTCAACATTTAAAAATCTGTATCACGCTGCTTCCAGCAACGACCAATCAGAAAATGCTCCGGCCAGGCGCCCTCGCCCCGGAAGTCCTGAAGAGCTCCGCCCCGCCGTCCAATACCCTTCAGCCGATCATCCGGGGGAACGCAGGAAGTGACGGAGCGCCCACACTTCCCATGGCCGCCGCTCCAGCGTGGGCACCTCGCTGAAGCCGAAGGTGGTACTGGCGGAAGTGACAGTATAAACGCGCGCCAGCGGTTCGGTAGGGTCGGGAGGGTGGCTGAGGCGGGCGCCGGGGCCGCCTGCGGCTTAACTCCGATTCCGCGGGCGGGCGGTGTCGTCTGCAGTGACGCCAGGTAACGGCCCGTTAGGCTTTTCTCTCCTCTGAGGTTGTGCAGAGGCGACCCCTGCAGCGAGGCCCCGGGGCGATGGCGGGGGAGGCGCCGGTGGGCGCGCAGGCCGCGCGGGAACGTGCCTCCCGCCCGGGCCGCGGCCGCTCGGCCTGTAACGGCCGCCCACCCGCCGATTCGCCGGCCGCTCTCCGCCGTGCGGCGCGGGGCAGGCGCGGGAGGGCCCGGAGCCCCGCTGTCCTGCCGCCGGGCCTCCCGACGTGGGGAGGCTGAGGACGCGTCCTCTGCATCTTTCTGTTCGCGGCCCTGGTGTTGGACCCACAGGATAACAGTGTCCGAAGAGGAGAACCGTCCGTGTGTCCGTGATAGTTTCCGAGGCAGAGTTTTCATGTTTACGGTCCTTCGGGAATGAGTATGCAGGCTGTGTGGCCCTTGGGGTCCTTTGTCCCCCGAAAGTGACTGTCAGATTCTTTCATTTATTCAAGAAACATCTGAGCGCTCGCTTTGCAGCAGCACATGCTCGAGTTGCGGGGGGCTGGCTTCCCACGTGACTGGGACCGGCCGGTTCGGCTCTGGCGTCTCAACCGAGATCGATCAGTAGCGCGCTTTGACCCGGTGCGTCTGTGTGGCCGCGGGGTGCGATTTGGAGCGTTAGTCGGTTAGTCCTGTTCGGTGCTGTCAGCTCTCAGCACCTGAGCAGGTGAGGGTCCATCGGAACTAACCGGACAGAAGGCCTTTCCGCAGCCGCTGGGTTCTTTTGTCTAAAGACAACTTCAGACGTTTAGCCAGTGAAGAGAGAGGAATTTAAGGAAAGCCAGACATAGGCACACTTTGTATTTATGTGTTCCAAAGAGGTCAAGTTATTGCGTACATAAAAACATGGTGTTTTATTTACTTTTATGTCTGTACAGCTTCTATCACAGTATTTTATCAAAGTAGTAGCTCAATAAATGATTAGACTAAAGTGTATTGGATTCAAATGAAGTATTTATTGAACTTAACGCCCAAACTTTGAGGATATAAAACTGACTGGAATACTTTAAAACCTGAACTTGGCCTGATAGAGTTGTGTAAATGGTGGTTAATATATCTTCCACTCAGATATGAGTTTGCTTAGGAATTTCTTTTTCTCTGGGCATCTTTCCCCCAGAAGTTTTCAGTGCTGGTCACGAGACCTTAACTTTGAACATTATAAGAGTATTTAAATTAAACACATAGCAAACTTTTTTTCTTTCTGTTGGCGATTTTGCATGCAGTCACAGGAAACATGGGAGGAATAAGATTAGAACATTATTGTTAAAAAGAAGACTATTCCAAAGTAGCTTGTATGTTTTTTTGGGGGGGAGGGGTGTAGGTTGGCAACCATGAAACTGGTTTATAAGATTGTATGGTGTCCCTGTATTCTTACAATAAACTTAATTCTGTTCTCACAGCAGCATCCGCGTTCCTTGGGTGCCTGAAGATAACCCAGAGAGCAGAGACGTGCTGAGAAGAGTGTGCTGGGGATGCTCTAGGGAAAGACTAACGCTGAGGCGAGCTCCAGGCCCAGGTGTCGATTTGCCTGGAAGAAAGCTGTCGTCATGGACCAGAACAGCAGCCTGCCACCGTATGCTCAGGGCCTGGCCTCCCCTCAGGTAACAGCTGCAGGGGTGCAGTCCAGCTGTCGGCGTTGTCAGAGAGCGTATGGAGGGGAAGGAAGGGAATGTGACAGTGTGTTGTGGAAAAGGATGTGTAATTTTTAAGCCTCCCTTATTTTGTTGAGAAGGCCTAAGGCTTTGAATAGGCATAACTAGGGGAGCGTACTTGTTAGCTACAGTGTGTACTTGTCTGTGAAAACTTAATATTTTGACAAACACTTAGGAATGTGTTTTAGGTGGTTACAGGATCTTTGACTTTGAAAGTAACTCTCAACAAATTATTTTGTAGTTTTACCTTTTTTATGGTTAAGGTTCGAAATAACATCTACGTTCTAAAGCCTTAAATAACCTCTGTTGAGGTGTACCTCACAAACAATAAAAACACCCATTTTAAGTGTATTTTTTGATAATTGTATGCCTCTGTACAAGTCACACAACATTTCAGTTACCTAAAAAACACCTTCTTGCCCCATTGTAGTCACTCCCCTAGCCCCAGGCAACTGCTGCTGTGCTTTCCAGAACCAAAGACCATGTTGCCTGGTCTAGGGTTTCAGACGGACGGAATCATATCGGTATGCGCTTTTTTGTGTCTGTCGTCTTTGTCCAACATAATGTTTGTATTGGGACATCAGGAAAGTCATGACGTATTTTTCTATGTTTTTCATTGCAAAAATGCGTCATGACTTTCCCGACGACCCAATATATCAACAAGTTCTTTTTCACTGCCAAGCAGTACTCCCTCGGGTGGGTGTGCCATTTTTTAATCTCATTCTCCAGTTGCTGACATTAGGTGTGTTTCCATGCTAGGGCTGTTACGAATAAGGGCGCTGTAAACATTTGTGTGCAGGCTCTGTGTATGCTGTGTTTTCATTTCTCTTTTTGTAAATGCTTAGGAGCGGGATTCCCAGGTCATGTGTAACTTGGTAAGAAACTGCTCAGCCTTTTTTCTGAGTCCCACCGGCAGCCTGTGAGAATTCTGGCTGCTCCATGTCCTCGCCAACACTCGGGGTTTTTACTTGTAGCCGTTCTAGTGGTTGCTTAGCAGCATTTCTTTGTGGTTTTAATGTACATTTTCCTGATGACATATGATCTTAAGCATGTTTTCCAGTGCTTATTGGCCACTGTGTATCTTCATTTGTGGAACATTCTCATTTTTGCCCATTTTTTTTATTGGTTTACTGGCCCATCTCTTATGTAGCTGGTGTTTGTGTACAGTCGTCCCCCCGTATCCACAGAGGACGCGTTCCAAGACCCCTAGTGGATGCCTGAAATCGTGGACAGCACTGAACCCTACATATACTGTGTTTGTGTATACATACGAACCTATGATCAAGTTTAATTTATAAATTAGGCACATTAACAGACTAATAACAATAACTAATAATAAAGCAGAACAATTATAACAATATGGTGTACTAATAGCTACGTGAATGTGGTCTCAAAATATTTTACTATACTATTTGTACAACGTGGAGACACTGGACAGGATGATGGTTCAGGTCACACGCAGGACGGACCAGGGTGTGAGATTCCATCACACTGCTCAGAACTGTGCACAATTTAAATTAGAAATTGTTTATTTCTGGAATTTTCCATTTAATATTTTCGGACCACGGTTGACCACGGGTATCTGAAACCACAGAAAGGAAAACTGGAGGAGGGGGGACGACTGCTCTGGACACACGTCCTCTCAGACGTATGTATTGCAGATGTTTTCTCCTAGTTTGTGGCTTACTTTTTAAGTTTCTTAAAGGTGCCTTTCAAAGCTTAGAAGTTCTTAATTGTTTTCTGAAGTCTGTTTATCAGTGTTACGTCATGGTTAGTGCTTTTGTGTCCTAAGAAATCTTTTCCCACCTGAAGTCTTAAGGTATTTATCCTCATAGTTTGTGCTTTTACAGGTATGTCTGTGATCCGTTTTGAGTTCTTTTTTATATATGGCATAAAGACAGACCTTTCAAAACTTTAGTCAGTCTTTGTAAACTAATGTGACCTGCATTTTTTTCTAGTTAGTATTTTGATAGACGTGATAGACGCAATAGAATAATACCTGTACTTACGGTTACAGTATATTTTTGGTCCTCCTCCTCTCATATTCTTTCTGCCACTGTGTTAGTGAAACAATTTTACATAAATATCTTAGATGTTTTTATTATGTGCTTTCTGCCTAATGAAGTGGTGGAATTAGGAAACAATTGTGCTCTTTTTTGGGTCTTGCACCCATTTGAAGATCTAATGAAAACTGGATCCTACCATGCAGAAATTGTGGGTGTAATTTTAAGGGGTTGAGAGCCTCAGCAAACTCTGCAGGCTCCGTGGTCTCATGGATTTTGGTGTCGGGGGAAAGACCGGGCTGAGTATCAGAAAGACATGGTTCTGACCTTGGCCAAGCAGCTCATGAGATCTATGGTATTGGGCGAGTCATTTAGTATTCCCAGTGTCAGGCTTCTTTTCTTCAGTGTGGGAAGAACATCTGTTTTCCCTTTCCCAAAGGGCTGGCTGCTGCAAGACTCAGATAAATTCATAAGTATCTGGAAAAGTAAGTGTCTGGAAAAGTTTAGAAGCATTATAGAAAAGTAAGTTGATATTATTGTGATAAATGCATTAGATTTTGTTGAGGTAAACTTTTGGGAGAGCAAATGATCAATCTTTTTGAATAGTGTGTGAATGATCGTCACTGTCATTGCTAACATGTCAGTGTTTTCCATGTGCCTGTCATCGTGTTGGATGCCTGCAATGGATGTCCCTAGGTTAACCGTATAATTTATCATTCAAACTGAGACAGATCCTCTTTGAGAGTGAAACGGGGGACCACCCAAGGGTACATTAGGATAGAGTTTAAACAAGGACGTGTGCTCACTCTAGTTCTCTCCCTTATTCTTTCTAATGACCTTCGTGCGTCATTGTCCCCTAGAACGCCCGAAAGGCTCAGCAGCCTGCCCGGGGTCTCACAGGTGATAAGAGCAGGCGTGGATGGCACAGCCAGGTCCAGCTCCGAGCTGTAAGCTGGTACCTACCGAGCCGTGTGGGGAAGAAAGTGGGTGTGAAAGGAGCAGGTTCCCGTCGCTCTGCTCAGGGACCCGTCACACTAGAAGGTGCCTGTACCTGCACATCTCGCCTGTTCTTTGCCAGGCGTGTCTTGAGAACGCGGTCTAGCCGCCGACCTAACCCGGTTCCTCCTGCCTCTGACAGGGCGCCATGACCCCCGGGATCCCCATCTTCAGCCCCATGATGCCATACGGCACAGGGCTGACCCCGCAGCCGATCCAGAACACCAGCAGCCTGTCTGTCCTGGAGGAGCAGCAGCGGCAGCAACAGCAGCAGCAGCAGCAGCAGCAGCAGCAGCAGGCGGCGGTGACGACGGTGACAGCGGTCACAGCCGCCGCGCAGCAGGCAGCAGCCCAGCAGGCGACTCAGGGCACCTCGGGCCCCACACCGCAGCTCTTCCACTCACAGACTCTCACGACTGCGCCCTTGCCAGGCACCACGCCCCTGTACCCCTCGCCCATGACTCCCATGACCCCCATCACGCCCGCCACACCCGCTTCCGAGAGCTCTGGGATCGTGCCCCAGCTGCAGTGAGTACCTGAGCGTCCTGCCTGGAAGGCCCTGGGGCTGGTTGGCTTGGGGTGTGGCTCTGTGGGTGATGTGGCCAGAGCCCTGTCTCCCCTCCGAGCTGGTCGTCGCCCCAGGGAAGCCCTGCAAACGGCCGTGGAAGTTGGGCGCTTGTCTGTGCACTTAGCTAGCAGAAGCAGCTCACCCTTCCTGCTGTCGCAGGCGTTCCCGCAGCTGACTGGCTCCTCAGGCCTCTCCGCGGCTCCTTCCCTTGTGGTGGTGTCTCAGGTCTCTGGGAAGGTTCGGTCCTCAGTCGTGGAGTTCAGTGGCTTTGTTTGTCCTTACCGCTTATTGTAACGTCTGTGTCTAAATCTTGGAAGAGCTGAGGATGGCTGTTCTTGGCCTCAGTGGGATTATCCACCTTAATGACATGGGTCAGGACGGGGGTGGGGGGGTGGGGTGATGTATTCATACGATGGCACATTATTCAGACGTCAAAAGGAGGCAGCTGTGTAACCAGCTGCCTGGTGGAGCCCAGAGTGTGATGCCCAGTGCAGCAAGCCAGTCACAGGAAGACCCACACTGTGAGCCCACTCCTGGGAGGTGCTCAGTGAAGGTCAGAGACAGGAAGTAGGAGGTGCCGGGCTGGTGGGGCGAGAATGGGGTTATTGTCTCACAGGACAGCTCCTGTTTCCCAGGGACGATGGTGGTGCCACAGCGTGAGTCCTGAATGGCTCTGCACTGTGCCCTGAAAGATGGTTAGATGGTGAGTTGTAGGTTATGGGTGTGTGAACAGTTGTTGAAAAAGAAAGAGAATACGTTAACAGTTGTGTGACTGAGTTTGTGATAGAGGCCCCGGGACTTGCTGGATTCCGTTTGTGGGGGACAGTGCAGCAGGCGTGCACACGGAATCACTCGGCGGGAAGTAGGTGGTGTAGGGATGAGCACGTGCAGTGGGCTGCCGCCCTAAGTGGCCTCGCATGTGTGCACTGAAGAAGGCAGCCGTCTTTTCACCACACTGTGAGCCACTTCTGCAAAGAAGCGGTGCATTTTGACAGTGCAAGGAAGAACCAGAAGCAGTAATGAGCTAGACCCAGCTGGAGAGGGGTGCACAGGACGCGGCCATCGGGGCCACGCACGGTGGTTTATGGTCAGTTCGTTCTGTTCAAAGGGTATTGCCCATTTCGAGTGTATACTTTCAAAATCAGGAAAATATGGAATTCAAGTTTGCGTTTGCTTTGTTGAACTTTTATTAAAATTTCTAATGAAGCTCTTTTCCACTATGTATTTTCTTTTGTAAGTTATTCATGTACTTGATATAAGAATACTAAAGAGGGTCCCATTGGGCCTAGATAATAAATGGTTATGTCTGTTTTTCTTGATTTACTGAGGGTTAAGCAGAAGAAAAAAATCAGGTTTTTTTCCTTTGTCAAAGATACTGAATTCTTGTTCTTCCAAAAGACAACTTATTTTGAGAGGACTGAGGAAGTCATGCCTGCCTGTTTCCTTCATAAGTAGTGGTTTTAGTAATAGAGGTGATGGTGAGCTCAGAGCTTGTGAATGAGTTGCGTCAGCATAAATGAAAGGCTGAGGCTCTGGAGAAAGCCGGACTCAAACCCTGACTCTCGTGTGTTTCCTGAGCTAGCTACGCCTGTTGAAGCCTCAGCTTCTTCATCTGAAGATAGTTATTACTTCATGGTACACCATCAGTTTTTTGTTTGTTTGTTTGTTTTAAGATTTTTATTGGGGAATTGTGGGATGAGAACAGTGCTGGGGAATTGGGGGAAGGGGAACAGACAAGTTGCTGTCGTTTTGTTCTTCAGTCTAGTTGTGGAGGACGTTGCTTCACT